TTGAGGTATTCGGCCAATCACAATGCACTGGATAGCTGGCCAATCAGAGCACACCTCGCTTTTCAGACTGATGAGCTTTGTAAAAATCGACGCGTTTCAGAAAGGCGGGGCATAGAGGAGAAACTATAATGTACAGTATGTGGAAAATAGTGTTTTTTTAACCTTAAACAGCATAAACACATTTCATTACACCAAATACACAAAATAATGTTCTTTTTAGCAACATCATATGACCTCTTTAAGTCACTGGCTGTCCTGGCAGTAAGACAGCAGCCTCTGGTTTCAGACAGTCATTATGAGCTCATAGCTGGACTTCAAGCTTCCAGACCACCGTAGCCTCCGCTGTGCTCATGGGATCCAGGATCAGAGCTTCTCCACCACAGCTTACACATCACTGACCTTTAACAGCAGCGCTTTATGAATGGTCGCCGTCAGACCCATATTTGCGTGGCTCCTGATGCAGGTTTGGTTGAAACTGGGTCACAGGTGTTCCTTTCATCCAGGGGAATTTTATGAAGCCATTCCTCCAGCCCGCTAATTTCGGTCTGTCCTGCGGTTGTGCTTCCAGCTTTTACGGCTAACCTATTCGTCAAAGGAATTCACGTTTGGCTTATGCTGGTTGACAATTTTTCTTTTTAACCACATTAAAAAATATGAGAATCGTTGTCGGCCCTGTTCCAAATCAGGCTCTGTTTACTCTTTGGACCTGCATTTTCAAGCTCTGTCTTTTTCTTTTTAGCCTGCACAAAAAAGGTATGTTGTAATTATTTCTTATGGCTAAAACCTTTATTGAAGAAACCTGGTTTACCCAGTGGATATTTTGTCATTTATATTTTATTACAGCTTCACCACACACTCAAAAATTTTGAGTCAGTATAAGATCTTTTTTGAAGAGGAAGAGATTAATAGTTATATTCAGCAAGGATGCATTAAATCAAAAGTGACAGTAAAAACATAAAAAATGTTACAAAAGATTTCTATTACAAATAAATGCTGTTCTTTTGAACTATTCAATTTTTATTTTCTAAGAAAAGTTTCTTCAAAAATAAGGAACAGCAGTTATTAAAATTAAGAAGAAATATTTCTTGCGCAGCAAATCAGCATATTAGAATGATTTCTGAAGGATCATGTGACACTGAAGACTGGAGTAATGATGCTGAAAATTCAGCTTTGATCACAGGAATAAATTACATTTTAAAATATATTAATAGAAAATTATTATTTCAGAATGTAAAAAATATTTTACAATATCAGTGTTTTTACTGTATTTTTTTTATCAAATAAATGCTGCCTTGGTGATCATAAACTTCATTCAAAAAATAAAAACTATATTGACCCCAAACTTTTAAATAGTAGTGTATTAGTATATTTATGAATTGTTCTTCACATATATCTCTTTAGCGGTTTAAATCAACATGTTTTTGCAAACTCATGTATGTAAATGAAAATCACGCTTTAATATAGTAAAAAAGAAAAACATACCACACATCCTCTAATCCAGTTTTATTCTTTTTCAGCAAAAGAGGAAAGGAAAAAAGGAAAACAAGAAAACAAAAAAAGAGAAAGGCTACAGAAATTTATCTTATCCATATCTTCGTTTTTTTTTTGTTAACCTAAAAAGGGCAAAGTAATGCAGCTCTATGCTTAGAGTGAGAGTTAACCAGAAACACAAAGGAGGTTAAATAAGGATTTTTCTTAAGATACACAATATTCATCTCTTTTCTTCAGTTCTGTCCATGTCAACATCTCAACAGAAAACCAGTCAACGTAATAAAAACTTTTTTTTAAACAAAACAAAACAAAAAAAAAAAGCGCCAGTAAATTGAGACTCCGCCTTCCTCGTTCCCACCAGAGCTGAAAACATCCCTCCATAATGCATGTGAGGAAGGGAAGGAAAGAAAGAAAGAAAAAAGAGAATGAATCAAGAGAATATAGAAAGAAAGGTTAGCATGACCAGGCAGGAGAAAGTACAGGAACTAGTGAGAATGAAGGAGAAAAAAAAGGGCAAAAAAGCCACCGAGATCTTCGGCTGCTTTAAAAGAGGCAGAGTGTATGTTGCAAGGTCTGATGGGAGTCATACGAGGTTACAGAGTGTGTTTATTCAGACCTGAACAAACTAGTTCTCAGATGAGCTGTGGGCGGCCCTTTCCCAACCGAACCCAAACCAAAGGGTACCGTCTGATTTATGAAAACACGGATGTAAGTGCATATGTGAGTGTATGCAAGTAAAACGGGCACGGCTCTGATGCGGCCCGTCGGCTTGAGCCGCGTCAGAGCCATGCCCGGCCTTTTTTATCCCGGGACGGTGTGACTCCTGTGATCCAGGTCGCCCCCCTTCCCTCGGTCAGTGTCTGTCATCAGAACGTCCGGAGCAGAAATTCCCAGAGGTCTCGATCGATCGATGTGTTTCCCCTGGAGTCGATCGCAGCCTCTGAGACGAGAGCAGTTCTCCAAAGCAGAC